TTAATATTTTTTTTAACCATAAAATATCTAAAAAAACAAAAAAAAAAAGATTTAACATAAATACATGCCAACAACCTAAAAACTCAGTGGTCATCTCCTTCTGATGAAAGTAAGAAATCTTGAGTTCGAATCATATGACATGCGGATGGGATGAGATAAGGGATGAGAGATTATTACTTTTTTATTGTGTAATCAAGATAAAAAAAAAAACATAAATGCATGTATATTAATTTAATTGATTATTTGGTAAAATTAAAATCAAATTTAATTTTTGTTATGCAATTTAATGATTAAAAGGTATAATAATTTCACCATTTAGGGTACAAATTAAAAAAATTTAAAGAATAATAATAAATAAAATAAATATTATTTTTAACCTCATTTTTAAGATACATGTTAAATTTTTTTTTTATAAAATTACTTTTTATTGTTGTGTCACAAGTTAAATATGTAATTAATATTTTTTTAACCATAAAATATCTAAAAAAACAACAACAAAAAAAGATTTAACGTAAATACATGCCAACAACCTAAATAACTCAGTGATCATCTCCTTTCGATAAAGTAAGAGATCCTGAGTTCGAGTCATATGGCATGCGGATGAGATGAGATAAGAGATAAGAGATAATTAGTTTAATTGATTATTTGGTAAAATTAAAATCAAATTTAATTTTTGTTATGCAATTTAATGATTAAAAAATGCATTAATTGCATTTTTATTAAAACCCTTATTAAATTTCAAATCTTGGTTTTACATTAAGGACCATGAAAAAATAACCAATGAGCTATTATTGACCACGGGAGGGTTAATTTTGTCATTCCACAAAAAGATAGAAATGCTTTATGTGCCCGTTAAAGACGCCATGTCACCATTATCTGTCCAAAAAAAAAAAAAAAGAGAAAAACCACTCAAACTCATCTCAGCCCCTAAAAGAAAGTAGGCTATCTGGAAGGTAATAATCGAATGGTCCATTCTACCACGCTATTATCGTGTACCGCTGAAGAATCAATCAGATCAGCGGTTCAAACTGAACTGATCGCTAGGTGTGAAAATCTTGATTGGGAAGACCAATTTAATACTGTGTTTCAGACAACACATTGTTGGAAAGACAATGCTGCCTGGATTTTAAAAGGCTCTCCTTCTGTGTAGCGAACATACTCTGTTCTTGAGCAAGTGGCAGAGCTTTAATGGCGAAACCAGTACAGATCGAAGTATGGAATCCAAATGGGAAATACAGAGTCGTTAGCACGAAACCCATGCCTGGAACTCGCTGGATTAACCTCTTGATCGAGCAGGATTGTCGTGTCGAAGTAACGATCATCTTTCTTTAACCTTTCTTTCGTTCAAAACCATGTAAAGTTAACGGTTTTTCTGTTCATTTTCTTGTTTAGATATGTACCCAAAAGAAAACGATACTGTCTGTTGAGGATATCATTGCTTTAATCGGTGATAAGTGTGATGGAGTGATTGGACAGGTTGGTGATTTTCCCCTTAAATCGACGTGGGTTTCTGGTTTTGAGATAAAGGTTGTTTTTTTAAGGTAGTTTTGTGATTTGGGTTTCAGTTAACTGAAGATTGGGGAGAGACTTTGTTTGCGGCATTAAGCCGAGCAGGTGGCAAGGCATTCAGTAACATGGCTGTTGGGTATAACAATGTCGATGTTAATGCTGCCAACAAGTACGGTGTTGCAGTTGGTAACACTCCTGTAAGATCATTTGCCTCGTCGTGATTTAGTATAATATGTTATTCTTTTGTTATGTGTAATTTGTATGAAAGAATATAGTTGCAATTAGTTGGTTTTAGTGTCTTTGTGGAACATTTAAATGGTGAGTAAATTTTTTTGCTTATTTGGTTAGGGGGTGCTGACAGAAACAACAGCAGAGTTAGCCGCTTCCCTGTCCGTAGCAGCTGCTAGAAGAATTGTGGAAGCTGATGGGTTCATGAGGGCCGGTTTATATGATGGATGGCTTCCTCATTTGTATGTTCGGCGTTTACAAAGTTCATACCTTTAACTTATTTGACTGTCTTTACATGTTTGATATGTAGATGTTAAATTCCATATATCTGGTCAATGGACAGTTGGATGATTTAGCTATGTTCACTTACAGGTTTGTTGGAAACTTGCTTAAAGGACAGACTCTTGGTGTGATTGGAGCTGGTCGTATTGGATCTGCTTATGCTAGAATGATGGTAATTTCTTATAAAACAGATTTCACATTTGATTTCTCAAGACTTGGCCGTGATTAGGTGATCGGTTAAGAAAATATACTAGTAGTGATTGCTAGGTTTGAGTAACATATTGATGAGAGGGATGAACTTGTTCTAGTCTTCACAAACCATTGGACTAATTTAAAGGTGTGAGGTGCATGGTTCAATATGAAAAATGAATGCTTAAACTTTGTTGCTGGAATTCCAAGTGATGGAACACAGGACACAGCCTATTGCAATGGAGGTCTTATCATCATCTTTTTAGTCTTTACATGAGGACAATCTGGCTAATCTAAAACACTGTTCTTCAGCTGTAATTCACTTGGTAGAGTAGAATTTTAGGTGCACTTTATTTATTGTATTCCTGGGAGTCTGAGACTAACTTAGTTGTATGCTGATAACAGGTTGAAGGGTTCAAAATGAACCTAATTTACTATGATCTATACCAATCTACCCGCTTGGAAAAGTTTGTTACAGGCATGTCTAGAATCAATCTATTCAATTCAGTGAGTCCTGAAGTCCTCTTTTCTAATGCTTATGTATCCTCCTAATTCAGCTTATGGCCAGTTTCTGAAAGCCAATGGAGAACAGCCTGTTACTTGGAAAAGAGCAGCAACAATGGATGAGGTGCTTCAGGAGGCAGATGTGGTAAGAATGTTAATGCCTAGTCATTTCATATCAAGTTGGAATTCTGAATGCAAATGAAAGTAGTTGCTATTGGTGTTTTTTTGTAGATAAGTCTTCATCCAGTCTTGGATAAAACAACCTATCATCTTATCAACAAAGAAAGCCTTGCTACTATGAAGAAGGTGAAATTAAACTTATTTTTGTACGCACAAAGTAACTTCAAAAGTCTTCCTGACTTACTCAATTACAAATTGTAATCTATATATATAGGAAGCAATCCTTGTGAACTGTAGTAGGGGTCCAGTGATAGATGAAGTAGCTCTTGTGGAGCATCTCAAACAGAATCCCATGTTCCGAGTTGGTCTTGATGTCTTTGAGGTAATTACTCAGAATTAGATTAAATTCCATCTTCCACATCATAAGCACTTCTTCTCATGAGTTAGTATATGATTGTTTGTTAATGATGTTGTACTAGGATGAACCTTATATGAAACCTGGGCTTGCTGACATGAAGAATGCTATTGTGGTGCCTCACATTGCTTCTGCTTCAAAGGTAACATCAATGAAGATGAATATTTATGATTGTCAAGAATCTTATATTTTCTCCAAGTTGTTATTCTCATGGTATTTTCGTTATGCTTTGTGCAGTGGACTCGTGAAGGAATGGCTACATTAGCTGCACTGAATGTCCTTGTAAGCATTAGTGCATTGAAAGAAGCATGAATGAAGAATTACTTCAAAATACACTTCATTGTGTAGTTTTGGTTGGGATTAGATTTTCTAGTTTGGCTTCTGACTTGCTGTCATAGTTCTAAACACTGACAACATTTTACTGCCCCATGACACAGGGCAAGATCAAAGGATACCCAGTTTGGGGAGATCCAAACCGAGTAGAACCATTCTTGAATGAGAATGCTCCACCTCCTGCTGCATCTCCAAGCATTGTCAATGCAAAAGCCTTGGGTAAACCTTCATGTTTCCAATGCCATGGCATATTTCTCTCGTGGTATCTACAAGTGTGTGACCTGACATTAACAATGCTGTTCTTGTCTTAGGTTTACCGGTTTCCAAACTATAAAGGAAGGATCTTGGTTAGTCTAAAGGCCTCATCACGAGAACAATGTGACAATGACTTTGTTATAAGCATCAACAACCGTGTATAATTTTTTTTTTTTGGGTAGAAAGAGGTTAGCAAGTCAATACAGTCTTGGGAACTGAGTTCCCTATAATATCAGGGTACAGAAGCATTCT